GTACTTTCTAACAGCAAACAAACCTCTGCAGCTTCCCAAACTTCTGGGTAAAACAACTTTAATGATCGCGAGCTTGAATTTGAAAGGATTTTTAGTCTCTTTGATCTTTTATTTCCAATTCACCTTCACATACTCCAGAGTCATGAACATTTATAATATGCAAAGCCCTCCTCCATTAAATCATACTCTATGTGAAAGCTTCAAACCTTCTTAGAAGCCTCTGACCTCAAAACGGTATGAAAAGTAGCACCGGCTGGCTTTGCTGGCCCTAAGGTCTTAGCTTACACAACCTACTGAAAAATAAAAAAATGAGAAGAAATTACCACAAACACACATAGATCGTACCTCTCAGGCGCTAAGATACACAAACATAAATGCACATCCATCCTTGACCTGATATGCAGAGTGCAATTAAAGCTGTTTTGGTATGTAAATAAAGTATGTAAACAACATCTACTGTACGATGCATGGTTTCTCTTTCGAAAGATAGCAGGGTGTTACGGGTGAAGGAGGCAATAAAACATCATGAGAACCATCACTGCTTGCAATTGGACTAGTATTTTCTTAGATAATCCATTATGCTTCTTTTGACAAAAGATAAAACCTCGGTAGCTATTTCCCCAACACATATCCTCATACGACTCGTGAGATATTACCCTTGCCTTATCTTGGAAACATATGGGCAGAGCCTTGATAGATTGTGGCTCTACAAGGAAGAAATCTTTATTCAGGGAGTGACAGTTTAATCCATGTAAACCTTTCTCCTGTCTAACACTTATCTTACCATTCATTTTCTGTAAAAAAGCGCAATTTGGCACTCTCCTGGAAACTTTACACCACTTTAATTAATTACAATCTGAGTTCATTTCTCAGCTAAAACGTATTCTGTAAGTGTCATGTATGCTTAATTACCTAACACGTAACTAATTGCCTTGAGATTAGTTTTTCCAGTCATGGATGAAAAATCTCTCTCCTCTTAAAATGCTTTGTTCTCCACAATATTTATCTTCTATAAAAATGGCATGCCTATGGATTTGATAAGCACATGCTGTGTACAATAGAACAGCACCACAGCTCAGGAAATTATGTTGATTTCATGTCATTACTCTTGCAAGGAGATGCTATAGTGTAGTTTACAGACCACAGTATCCATTAGGGGTCACATTCAGTGCCTTCAAATGAAATGGGATCCTTGATTACACATAGCGAAATTGGCTAATTGTATAACTAAACCATTAAGAGGTAGCAAATGATCGCCTGTTTATTGACGTGAACATCAGCAGCTGTACAAAAGTCAGATTGTGTTGGGGTTTTAAAATGACAAGCTACAATATTGATATATCTGTTGCATACTTGGTAAAATGCATGGATTGGTAAAAAATAAAGCAAAACCATTTTGTGGTTTAACTCTCTCCCGCTGAAATCTGTATATAGTAAAAAAGAAAATTATGCTGATAAAACTAATTATTAGTACACTGATCACATTGTGTAACATTTGTGGACTGCCCCTTTAACTGCTTATTGTGGGTGAGTTGTTAGGCACCTGAGAGGATCCCTCAGGAATCCCTTAACAAATGCATGACTGTGCTTCGGTTCAGGTCACAAAAATGTATTTTCTGGCTCACAGATAATTTTACCATTTGGAACACTCTCCTGCTGTATGGAGGCTGCTATCCCTCCAGAACAATGCTCCCCTTTTCCAAAACTACGTTGAAAATTACCATTTCTCACTTGTTTACAAACACAGCCCTCCAGGGCAGGTACTAGTATATTTGTTGCCTGAGGAAAGAAATTTTGACACTTTAGGAACCTGGGAGTCATCAAAAAGTTGCAGTTTTGTGGGATATGTTTCCCTTGGCAACCACGCTCAGAAAGAATGATTTTGTCAAGTATGGCAAAAAATGAAGGATGAAAGGAAGGAGGAGGATTCTGAGAACTTGACTGACTGCTGCATTCATCTATAATCAAACACAATTCATGCACATTAAAAAAAGGCAAATATACAACGCTTCAAATGTAGACACATGAACAATAGCTACTGGAGGGAGGTTTATGCTTGCTTTTAGCCACCTTATGTGACCTTTGCCGTGGGCCAGCCCTCGGGCTACTCACAAATGTTGAAAGAATTTCTATGCTTGTCTTCTTGTTTCAATTCAGTTGTGAAAAAAGACAAAGAAACCACAGCTATTCTGTGAGCAGAGGGAAAAAATTAGCAAGAAAACAAGGACGAAGAAAGAGAGAGGATTGTTATGGAGAGAAGAGAGTCGTGATGTCAGGAGGTACGAGTGGAGGTTCTAAAATATTCATTATCCCTCCCCTTGTCTTTCTTAAAACCATTGTCAGTGTTTCTGAAGCAACCAACACTGAACAAGAGCATGACAGGACAGAACACTCAGGGTTCACAGGGCTGGGCGGTGATAACTAATCACCATGTACAAAAACGACATGTACAAGTGTTAGTTAGTACTTTTTGTTTCCTGGCATTATTACACACATATTCACCATTTGTAGCAGCAACTGAACTTACCAGACGTGACCTTGTTTTAAAAAAAATGCTTGATGGCACAAAATGAAAGTAAATGGTTCATTTTCGGAGGTGAGACGGCTAATTTAACTCCCCACTGAGAAAATGACACCACTTTGAAGTTTTAGTTTTCTTGTCTCTTAGACATATTACGTAATAAATGTGAGACGATTCTTTGTTCTCTAATGGATGTAATGGATGGTGAAGTTGCTTCCATTTAATGTCACATAAAGTACTTTGAATGTGACAATAATTGTTCTATCTCATGTTCTACTTTGCCAGTACGTAAGAATTAGGACTCTTCTGAAATAAATCACTCAACAAATTTAAAACAGGTATCAAGATTTTCGTGATTATCACATAATTACTTATATGTCAAAAGGGTCGATCATAGTGATGAAACCACATAATATCCCCCTTCTCTGTAGTTCCCCCTCAGCTCTACAGAGCTTTATAGCTCATTTGTTTTGGTTTTATGTCCCACACATTTTTCTGTTTCACTCTCATTGTTCTTATTTCAAGCAGCTGTTTTTAGTGAAAATGCTCTTAAAATCCACTGCATGCTATCTTCTTAGCACCAGTTGGCAGACAGACAAAGTGTGTGTGAAGACAGTGGAGCATTTAGCAGCTCAAGAGCCAGATATTTCCCTCAGGAGCTGGTGGAGACCAGACCAGAGCTAAAAGGAGAGTGAATGTTGGACTTACATTTCCAACTGAATTGTGCTGGCCAGGTGGCTGGAGAGGAGACCCCACATGAATGACAACTAGGTAGCAGGGTGTCTTTATGAGCCTGGCATTGAGTGACTATTTCAGTCGGCATTCCCTTCCCCTTCCCCTATCTTTGTGTTCCCATAGCAAGTCCCGTAAGTAAGCAACCGACATGCTGAAAATGGCAAGGTACCCTGAGCTGGTCACTATGAACCTAAACAAGCTATGAGCTGTTACCTTATCCTTTGGTAGTATTTAGATATTTTAATGGCTGGGCTCACCTCCCCAAATGCAAATTGTAAAAAAGTATGTAAGTGTGTTTTTCCCCCAATGGTAGAATGACAATGGCTTTGGCCAGACCTTCCTGCAGCACTGGTATAGCACTAGAACAAAGTGCAGAGACAGCTCTATCTATACAAGACTGATCAAACCATTGACAATAGTGAATATCCGGACACTAAAAAAAGTTTAGTATGCATACTGAGTATACTGTCTTCTAAGTGTACTTACTCAAAGAGTATACTTACTTCTTCAGTGTGTCAACACTTTATATTGAAAAGCTTGTTTGAATTAGTGTGTTGTATTGAGTTTGGTATACAGCATCAAAGATCCACTGCACCATCTAAAGAGTCCATGTCCATATCTCCCTAAGCGGTCCATTGCAAAAAGTGTCACGCACGACCAAATTAATGAACCGATGCAGAGAGACTGGTGCCTATAGAAGGGCTCACAGACACCTAATAAATTGGAACATTGACCATGAGGAGATCCTGGGGAAACTTCGGGATACCAAGGTTGCATTGTTTTTGGTACTGGGACATTTTGCTTTGCCACAAATACAGAAGACTGATTTTCCAGAGCCAATCACATTCATTGTTTTCTTTTGGATTATATGAATACCTTAACTGATAAATATAATGCTGTGTATATTACGCTAGTTGGGATAATATTATCCACTTAAAGGTCTAGTGTGTAGAAGATCTATTAGCACAAATGGAATATGATAATCACTGGTATGTTTTCAGTGGTCCTTTTTACGGTTGTATTTTATAAAAGTCATTATGTATGACCAGGTCATTCTTGAGTTGATATCAAAGAAGCTTAAATATTCCCAGATATATGCAGGGGTGGATCTAGAGAAATATTCATGGGTTGGCATGGAGATTTTCAGGGGTGGCAGAGATATAAATGCTGCTTTTAATCCTATACAATCACATATATCAATATTTGCTTGGAAAAGCCCCCAAATAAATATATTGTAACTCAAAAACATTTCATTCTCATAGCAAAAATAATAAAGCATTGAGTAGAAATATTTTTTATGGCATTAGAAATCAATACATTGTTATATTTCGAAATATTCAGACATTTTCCATTGAACTTAAGTCTATCACATAGTAAAATGTGGCCAGAACAGACAATGGCATTAATTTCATGTTAATGTGTTAAATTTGACAGTATTTCACACCAAATTTGGGTGGCAGCTGGGGTGGCCAGCCATTTTTTAGGGGTGGCAGCTGTCTCTAGATCCGCCCCTGCATGTGTGGCTGATTCCAATGGGCGTTACAAAGACAATAGCAACATGGAATAAATGACACAAAACATATTGTAAGCTCATTTGACTGGAGGCGTCATTATTGTGGCTGGCTTAGCATCCTCCTCTGCGTAGAGAATCATAAACACCTTTGGTAATGCCTCCCACAATGATAATCTTAACTGCAAGCTGTACTTTATATCCATTCTTGGAGGAAGAAGACACGTACAATTCTTTCACATATCCACTCATATGGATTTCAGGACTTTATTGAGCAATAAAAAATATACACCAAGGAAAATATTGTTTTCCTTTTCCCCCATATTGTTGTTCTTCCATCTTAAAATCTGATTTAATACTTCCAGATGAACGACCCATGATCCAAATCGACAAAATGAAAAAAGGGAAAAAAAAATAAAAATAGAGCAGTCGTTTTAGTTCAACAGTAGAAGTTGAAAACCACTGGAACATTTTGAAAGCATCTCTGTTTATATTGTTCACTGGAAATTTCAAAAACGGATTTCAAACACATTTGGTTTGAACAGGAGTGAAATCACAGACTAGGTTGTTACATCTGAATCTGCCTCTCCATAGAGTTCTGCCAGTTTCTGGAACTGAGGCCCCCAGTCGTCCAGGTAGTTATAATCCTGCTCTGATTGCGTGCCGGGAGAGTCTAAAGGGCTGATGGATCCTGTTGGAGAGCCCTGGCCTTCGTAAGCGTACGTCTGGAGGGAGTCGTAGGGCGGCACACTGGTGTCCATGTCGGCCTCCACCAGTCTCTGCTTGATGAATTCGTGCACATCCACCTCGTCCAGCTCCACTGATGGGCTCCGACGGCTGCGGCTCGGGCCGCAGTGTTGCCTCGCTTCCGGGCGAACGTCCCGCCGGAACTTGAGCTCTTCGGCGGCAGCTGGGTTACGTAGGGCAATAATGTCAAAGGCCTCAGTGTCCTCCTCGCCTCCACCCTCGTCGTCATAGGTGACCACATTCTCTCGGATATCCTCTTCGGAGATGATAAGGGGCTCTTTCTTGCTGCGCCTAAGTGTGATGAAGAGAACCACGATGGCTGCAAGACAAAAGAGAAAAAAAGGTTTCAATGATTATATTTTTTTTAAAAAAAGGCCCCTCAAAAAAGAAGAATAAAAACACGAGTAACAATCAATAAGAAGTATAAATGGAAAATTACTTTGAAAAATGTAGTAGTCAAACAGAAACAAAATTGCTTTCTCAACAATTAAATTGACAAACCGCTTAGCAGAACATCATATAACAGAACAGCTGAATGTGGTTACAATGCTCAGCCATGTTTTTTATGCTAATACTAATCCCTGTGTGTGCCTGTGTTGTTTGTTATTTCATAGCTCATGACAGACAAACATGTTGTGGTTCGTAAACAGCTAACCAAATGAACACGAGAACATTTTATGTGCATATTTATCTGATTTTCCACCAGGACACTAAAACTGGCCAAGCGTTCTAGAGTTGTAAATCAATAATATGCAATAGCCGACATTAGTAGTGGCTGTGATGGTACTTTGAAAACAAGCTGCTGATATGATGACAATATACTTATTACCATCATCTGTGGAGCAAATTCAACCTCCCATCCAGCCAAAATGCAATACATCATGTAAATAGCAAGTGAACATGTGTCTGCATACGGAGGCATGCCTCATGCCATTATGTATTAGTTTTTGAAGAGGCCAGTAATATAAAGAATAAGCCACTTGCAACACACTGAAGAAATATAGTTCACAGATGCTAAATGTCTATCCAGATAAGTAGCTTACAGAGTCACATATATTTGCCAACTGTTAAAGAAGTCATGAAGCCAAGTAATATTTGATGACATGCTACAACTTGGAACTTGTTCCTACAACTAATGAGAGTTAAACTACTTTGTGTTAATAATGACCTCTCTGCAAGATGTTAACACAAATATCTGTTAAATAAAATGGCGTCAGCTTGGGAACTACAATTTTACAGCAGTGCAATATCTAAAAGGAGTTCATTATGCTACATTATCCGAGATGAGTTCCTGCAGAGGCATCTTTGCTTCACAATTAATTAAATTACATTTAAAAACATAAAGGTTAAGAGAACAAAAAGGGAAATTAAACTGAGGAAAACCCCCCTTTTAAGTTAATATAAATGTTTTTGGCATCTATTTTTTTGGCAAGCTTTATGTATCTAAACAGCAACAGTGAATGTGTTAAGAAGAGGTAGCTTTCCTAACATCCAGGATGCAATGATGCATTTGGTTAATATACTGTATTTATTCAAGCAATACATTTTATGTATGCATATAGTGGTAGTTAGAATATTTAAGCCTCAGAGTAGACTTTAACTAAACAAGTCAAGCTTGTTGTCAATGCCCCTTCAGTCAAACAATGGAGCCTTTACACATTCAGTTCACTTGGCCAAGTGACAATAACCCATTCACACACACTGTGGTAGTACTGAATAAGTGGACCAAAAGACAAGAAAATGCCGAACCGCTCCCAGTTTCTGGAGAACCTGAACCAACTATAGTACATGAAATACCCCTTTTATGGGTGTAATCATGGACAGATAAACAGCAACAGTTTGTGGTCACACAGTGGGTTGCCAAATCTGGGGAAAAAGGCAGAATTGCTGGCAAAAAAGTTATGTTGGATAATAATGGATAATGGGACACTAAATCTCAGTCTAGTAACTGAACTACTTGTAAGGCCATGATGCATCTTTCACAAGCCCTGATTGAGTTTGTTAATGTGAAACTAAAGGTGGAATGCAAAAGTAAACTTTTCCATTATAGAATAGAAAAATGTGCTTGACTGTACCCTAAGACACCTTATGACTAAAGTAATTATACACAGATTCATCTATCTACATATATTTCATTGTTCAGCGCGGTTCATTGGCTGTGTTTTTAATGAAATGTCCCCCAACCTGCATGCGATTAATCTGTGGTAAAAAAAATAACAAATTCACTTCACTCCACCTGCTGCAGTGGCACCCCAAGTGGGGTTACAGAGGGTGAAAAATGCAATTTGTGTGGGACAGTGCTTATCGCTCAACTTGTTTAAAGCAACCAATTACACAATGCAAGGATGTGAGAGTGTGTGGGGTGCACTGGGTCAATCACAGTGAGCAGAATTAGAAAATAAAGAATTTTGTTTTTTCATTTTTCATTCCCATACATATTTTTCAGCTACTACATTTTTGACTACTTCCTGCTCCCATTATCTACAGTTTTAAACCTCACTGTGGTTTAGAGGTAAACAGCCTGAGTATAATGAAAAATAAAAATGTTACCCAGACTCACTCAGTTAATGCACCTTCATTATTTACCATAATTTCATACACCAGGCTTCACTTTCCACAGCTCATGAACTACTTGTATGTGTAGTATATTCCTATCCACCGTACTGTACACACAATATTGTAATGCAGTCTATATCTTAATGCTCCCTCAATGGCCCATTCCGGTCATTTGATATAACTAGCCAAGGCCAGTTGAGGTTTAACTGTCCTTCAGTACACCACTTACGACATCAGGAATATTACTCCAGCCTACAGATAACTATTTGCTAGAGTAGAAGCCATTGAAGAAGTCACATTTATGCAACATTTACCCAGGTTATGGAAGAGTACACTGCATTATGAGAGGATTGTATTGTATTGTATTTTAAAATAATGGCTCTAATCCAAATGCAAGGCCATTACATGTAACTTCTTAAGGTAAGAATGTAAAACTTATAGAACAAAAGCAAAAACACTATTTCAGTTGTGACTCTTAAGTCAGTTGTTCGTCTTGTTTTGTTGTGCTGTACTATGCTTATATCCAAAAGACGAGACAATACTTAGGTCAATGTCATTCAGCACCTACAAGTGTTAAAAAATATCCATTTTAAAACAGCTTCATAAATGTGGTTTTTATTTGAGAAATGTAGTCCTTGTAAAATTAATTTAACTTGTTGCTGTGGCACTGGAATGAAAAGAACCTGCTAAAGTTTACTCTATAAAATAAGATCCTCAAATGAACAGAAATGTTCTTTTTTTTACCAAGGACATGGGATTACAATATTCATTAGCATAAGTATTTGTTCTGTGTTGAGTTAATTCTACATTAAGCAGGTTATGGTTTTATTTTTAATCCAATTTCTTTCTTAACCCAGTTAGTACTGTAATACTGTACCATTTTATATCAAACCAAATTAATACAATCCAAACAATGATCTACTTCTGAATATTTTATGTTATTTAAGTCACATGTGAAGGCCATTATCAGCTGAGCTCAGAGATAGTTTGTCTCCCTTTCTGGTTTGCTGCAGGCTTAATTAGGTTGGCTTATTAGAGGGCACAGAGATAAAACATGGAAAACAATCAGACACAAACAAATCACACTGACAAGCAAAGACGAGCCAGAATTGAAAGGGTGAGCCATATAAGTGATATCCAGTAGACACTGATGCATTCCTCTGCCACTTTCTTCTGTAAAAGAGGTTGGAACTCTTTCACTACACCCTATGTAGTAAAACCTTTTGCTCACTTTTTCTTATCTAATGCGTTCATACATACAAAAAAAAGATTTCAGCCTCGAGCAGTTGGCTCATTTTGGTCAGCAATGGCATTGAAACACAATGTATCCAAGGTTTTATTTTGTGCAAGGAAATTGATTTTGACAGTTTCTTGGCTGCAATGCCAAGTGCTGTAGCTCACTTAAAATAATTTGTCTACTTGGTCCCAAAATGCCTCCAAAGATTCTTATAAAATAACAATCATAGGATTTAGTATTGCCAGAAAACGTTCAAATGCGGTGCCAAAGGCATATCTATTTTTTTCTATACCTCAGTTTGGGGAATATAAACATGCTTTTTTTTAAAAAGACAAGAAAATATTATAATATAAATAAAAATGTGTTCAATGCATTAGTTTTACTGTAAAAATCAGGATCAGGGTGATGATCAAAGAATAAGTAATCAAGACTGTGTCCAAACATTCCATACCAATGGAAAGCATTGAAAATGAATATATCCTATTTGCATAAGAAAAAACACATGATAATGCCAGGTTGAAATGCATGCAGAACACAATGGGGGTAGAATGTAATTTCATCAGTAAGCCAGACCACCTCCACATGTGATCTGGATTGCATCATGTTTGGATATTACCTAGGTGTAAATTCATGATCATATTAAAGAAAAAAATCAATTCAGGAAGCTAAAAGATGCCATTACTTTGCCTCTTCTGGCTAGCTTAAGCATGCAGGCAAAAGCTACAAGTAACAGCAGTATTCTTCAGCAAAAACTGATTAATATATAATACCTGTCCATGGTATAGCTTTCCTTGACCTGGGAGACACCATGTTTAAAGTCTGATTTTCATATTGTGATCAAATCACATAAGAGATCTTTTTATACCAAGGGCTAAATAGGGCCAGTAAGTATTGAGGTCCGTTAAGTACAGAGAGACACATAGCACAGGGTGAGAGGGATGCATGACATTACAACTATAACTATAACAACTATATTTCAGTTACAGTTAGCATGCAGCTAAGATTACTATTCCACTTGGCCATCTGACACCAGAGGTGGTGAAAAATAGTGCAGACAAGTCAAATGACTGGCTGGTAAATGGAGTGGAATCTGATCTATTTTGACTGCAACCACTGACAAAATCTCAAATCTCTTGGGGTGACGGGTTACCAAACCTCTGACCGGTAGCTGATCTATGTGTAAGACACTTCACTTGTTACTGGAAAGTGTGAAATCTAAAATGCAACACAGGTCAAAAAAAAAAAAAAAGGTGTGATGAGTTCTTGTCTCTCCCTTTCTCTCTCTCCATCCTAACTATCTGCCTTGTGCTGATGATTAGCGATTCAGCGTGTGTCTCTCACCCAAGCGTTTGCTCCAAACAGTGGTGATGGCCTTTTGTTCGCCTCAGCCAAAGGGTTTGGCATGGAGAGGAGGAAGACAGCTAGTATGAATATGCATAACCTTCACGCACTAATGTCCACAGACAATCACTGAAGAGAGGAAGGGAGAGCAGCAATGGTGAAACTGTGTCATTAGACAGTCTTGTCTAACCATGTCCTGCTGCAGTTTGATTTGCAGAGGAAGAAATTGGTCCGCAACATCTCTCATACCCTAAGTTTTGTTGACTTTAGTGAATTTAATGAGCTCAGTTTGACAATTTTTAAGACATTTTCCGCCTCTAACGTTATCGTCGATTCATCTTTTTAAATCTGATGTGAAAAGCTACATTCCAAATTCAAAGTGACAAGATCATATTTGCAAGTTTATATATAATCATTTCCTGTCCCTGCAAAGATGGGTTGCTATAGTAACAAGGCACGCATACTTACTCACTGACTATTGGTGCTGCAATGAGCTGGTAACATGGATGTAGCCCTGTTTATTTTCACTGTATTTCCGATTGAGTTTTGTATTCATGATGCACCACCAATCCTTCACACATGAAATCAACAACAGTCATATCTATGTTGGCTGTCACCATATTCCTCCATGCTTGTCCTATGCTCTCTAGGCACCGCATGTAATGTCAAACATGTGCCGGGCAGGGACCGATGGGGAAGAAGATTCAGTTGCATAGTAAGAGAGCAGAGCTGAATTGAATTTCAAATCATCAACAAATGTGATTTAGGTCTAATCAGATTTTTCTGATTCGAGCTGCCTCTCTGAACATGAACATGGTTTATTCTCATAATTTTTTCTGTTGTAGGCTACACACCTCCTCTCTGAATCACATTGACCCTGCAAACTCTATTTGCCTTTTCTTTGCTTTCTCCTCACCATCTTGTTTCTAGTCACCTCTTTGCCAACCTCCTCTCTCTCTGTCCTCCTTCTCTTCTGTCCTTCATATCCTTTTCTTTTTCTTCCACCCCTGCCCTCTCCAACTCTTTCGTCCCTCATTCTCAATTCTACCTGTGTCCTCACATGTCTATTCATCCCTCTCTCCTCCTCTGCCCTTGTCAAACCCTTTCAAACCCTTCCACCCTTCCTTGCTCCTCTATGGTTCATCTCCTCCATCCATGCCCTCAGGATATTTGGCCCCTGGCAGCTCCCCCCTGCTGCAGTCCCCACAGTGGCTGTCCCAACTTACCCAGCAGGATGACAATGCACAGCAGGATGGCAATCAGTGCCCCCGTGCTGAGACCCGCCGAGGAGAGGAACGCCTCGCCTTGGCACATCCGGATCCTGCCGTGGCGTTGGCACGGGCATACCCGCAGGGTCAAGGTGCTGGTGCCGCTCAGCGACGGCTCCCCACCGTCCCACACCACAATGGGCAGCTCGTACAGCTCCTGGGTCAGGTGGTTGAAACGCCGCCGCCTGGCAATGATGTTGGCTGTGCTGTCTAAAATAAAAAGAAGATTGTTAAGGAAAATTAGACCCCCTGGCTTAAACAGACTAATTGATGGTTTCCTCTTTCTTCTCAATTGTTTTGCTCTTTCAGCAAAGCCTGCAATTACCTATTTCTACAAACAGACATTTAGATTAAGAGTAAGAATCGTCAGCTAAACAGAAAAAAAAAATTCTATCCACAACATTTGCAACTGTGAATTGAATTTTTGCTTTTGAAGCTGGAGCTGGTGGATTTCTTACTGTGTCTTACTGCTGCTTCTCTGTGTTCCAAGGCTAATTAATTTCAAAGGTGTTCGTTTACTATTTTAATGTGCTGCAAAAGAGCACTTCACCTTGGCCTCTGCAGAAACGCTGTTAATGAAACATGTCATGTAGATAAACAGAAATAAAAAGGTTGAATTTGTAGAAAAGAAAAGGCAAATAAGAGAGCGCTCGAGAGGCAGGTTTATTGGAAAGATTCAGCAAAGAGGGGGAAGCAATAAACACACTGACGTAACACTGCACATAAAAAAATGGATTGAAAAGGAGATTATTGTGTTAAGAGGTCAGTTCTCTCTTTCCGGTGGACATAAATGAGACATAACCACAGCAATGACTGTGATGAAGGTCTAATTGGCTTGAACTCATACAACACATATTCTTGATGAAAGATGTTCTTAATTCTTTAAAATGAATGTATACTACCCACCACGGGCATCCTGATTTCAATTGGATATAAAATGCACAGTGGGCTACATTCCAATGTCCTCTATATTGCTGAAGCCAACTGAAGAAGCCCTGTTTACTTCAGCAGTAAATTTTTACACCAGTGGCTTGTAGAACTATAAGAAGATTATATACATTTTATTTACATGTACATGCTAGAAAACAATCCAACAGTTAGAAGCACATAGAGTTCCTGCATGGACAGCAACAGGGGCAACCTCGCCGACAGAGCTGCCATTAGCCATCTGGAGGCATTTATGGTCCAGTTGCCCACAAATTCCACTATGTTGCATTGACTTTCACTACAGACTGTTGTGTCCATATTTTGTTTTGGCAACAGCAGCAGATAAGCAGTGCCATCAGACTTCTATCAAGGATAAACCAAAGAAAATACCAAAAGGCACAGCAGAACAGCTATTGATTTGGTGCATTTTTAACTATTTTATATCTGTTGGTGTACAGATATAGAGTTAAGGTAAGGTCAGAAGTGAGGACTTAATTTCTCTGCAAGAGAAGGGGTGAAAAAAACATTGGTTAACACTGACCAGTTTCAATCTCAACCAATAGTAAATACATGTGTGAGACTGATGTATTTGTATGTATGACCGTGCCCTTATGGTATCATTTGTTGTAGCTAGATGTTCATGATTTCACGTGCACCCTTCTATCAGAATATAAATAGCTACTGTTCACTTGTTTCAACAGTGCATGCAAAGCTTATTCCACATTTGTTAGGGACGTTAAATACTTCCTCTTAACAGGCATACATGCTAAGAAGCTTACACTGACACGAAGGACCATAACACGACCAATTGACATGCTGGTCTGTTCTGAGGGTTTACCATTAGGAATCTAACATGCAGTGCTTACTGTTACTTGTGGGCTGTGTGAGAGGGGTTGTCTCAGCAGGAGATCACCTGTTTATCTGTAACATAAGGGGCGTCCAAATGGCTATAGTTGGCTATGGCAGACTGGACATCTGCGTGATTTATGACAATATACCTCTTTAAATTGTTGTATTATGAGATAGGGAATCACATAATGTTTGAAAACCTAAAGCTACAGTACATGTTTAGCCAACCGTGTTTATTCAAAGTATATGGCTGGGTGAATCACATACCTGGATGACTAACTTGGGCCTCACATGACTGACTAACTGGAAACTTGCAGATGACACGTTGCTGATATATATATATTCACACAATATTTTAAGTTCCGAAAATGCTGAATCGTGCACAGGGCAACCTTTTCCTTTGCACACAGCGAAAACACCTCCGCCGTGCTGTACTATCGTGCTGCTGCTCTGAGACCTCGCCTCCCACTCCAATCTCTGCTCCATCTATGAATAATTATAATGATCGACAGTTGGAATGACAACACGTACTTCAAGCTTTATTAAGTCAGACTCGCAGTATCACCGTATCAGCAAGCAGATGGGTGGGGGGTTGGGGGGTGTTGAGAGAGTGGAGTGTGAGAGATGCAAATAACAAGGAAGAGAGATGGGGAGTTGGAAGATGAGAGGAGAAGAGAGGGAGGCGAGGGGGGTGAATGGAGGAGGTGTGTTTGTGTGTGTGTGAGAGCCAAAGAGAGAGCAGAGAGGATGAAGGCTGAGGCTGAGACAAACAAGCTGTGTGTACGTGGTGTTCACCATCACAGCCTTTACACTTTGAAGCACAGAACCATGGCACCACAGGTCCTTGTACAGACCACAACGAGGAAGTGCACATCAATTATGTCATGCTAATTTCACATTAAACCGCCTCTCGTCGCAGGTGGGTGGAGGAGAGCTGCGCGCTTGTTGATTAACGCTGCAGTGAGATGGGCCATCTGCAGCCACGCGGCATCCACATAAGAGGAGAGACAGCATGAGTTATTACAGTCACAGTTTAGCCGTGTTGTGACAGGTCGTGCTATGTGACGTTACCTGCAGTGCACAGCAGGTGACCACCCAGGAAAAGAGGGTAAATATGCTTTTAAGAGCATTTCACACTTCATTGAAAATGTTCATGATCATTTTTATCAGTTATTTTGCAGTTTATTAGCAATCAGTTTCCATATGTGTGTCTGGTTTTCTATTAAATAAAAAACAAAAAATGCACACAGGCAGTATCATGCGTGTGTGAGGTTCTACATAACCCTTTGGAATTCCCCCCTGCGCTAGATTCGTTAAGGCAGAGCATGAGTCACTACCTGGCAAATGGCCTCATTTCTTCACTTTTCCAAAACCATTAGCATGATAGGTGTAAGTATCACTTACATAACTTTTGAATCACTTATGTATCACTGTTTCTCCATCCCAGGATTAGAAGATATGGGAGATTTCATAGCAGAAAAAAACTAAAGGACTGGTCCCTGTGGTCACTCAACTCTTTCTCAGAGTTTAAATGGTAGATTCATGTTTTCAATCAAGAAAATAAATTTGAAAATTAAACGCCTCACGAGGGAGGAAGATGCAATGCACATGAGAAAGTGCATGAAAAACTATAAAATCCCTAATTTATAGTATTCATTGTTACAGTAAGAGATGCCCTATTAGATTGAAATGTAAATTATTTAAGCTATTTACACTAAAGTGAATGCAAATATCTTTGTCATAGAGCTGGCTCACTGTATAACATGTGAAGTGTGAAAAGCAAACCCTAAATATACCAAGAGTAGACATGCGACGCAACCACATCTCTACAGACTTCACACTTGCCTACACATGCACTTAGCTGGATTCCTTGTGAACTTTGGTGGGTGTGTGTAGGTGCCACTGATGGGATTCAGCACGAACCTTCTCTCCAGTTGCCACTTGGAGTACAACATATATAATAGTGGCACTATTTTGGGGCATAACATATATTGGGTCACATTCTAAAGGTGGGTACTTAATGTTGGGGGTGATCCCAAGGCATTCTCAGGCCAGATGACATACTGTATATAATCCCTCCAGCAAGTTCTGGGTCCCAGTTAGGCATGTCCAAAAAAACTCCAAAGGATGGTGCCCAGGAGGCGTCCATATCAGATGCCCACACCACCTTAGGTGGCTCCTTTTGACACAAAAGAGCAGCGGCCCAGCCACCCTTCAGAGGAAACTAATTTCAGCTGATTGTATTCATGGTCTCATTCTGTCTGTCACTTCTTAAATCTCATGGCCATAAGTGAGGGTTGGAACATAGATCGACTGGTAAATTGAAAGCTTTGCCTATCAGCTCAGCTCCATCTTCACCACAGTCTGCTGCAACATCCGCATCACTGCTGACGCTGCACCAATCCGTCTGTCTATCTCACTCTTCATTTTACCATTAATCGTGATCCCGAGATACTTAAACTCCTTTGCTTGGGGCAGCAACTCTGAGTGAAGTTGAAGGTGATGTTTTGCACATTGCTTTTTGTTTGATAAAGCTATTTTCACAAACTTGAGGCTACTTGAAATGGGTTGAACAATGCTAACACACAGTTTCTCTCCAGTGGTGTATAAAGTACTGGGCAACTATAATTATCTGAAAGAGTGGTTAATACACTGGTTAATTTACAAGCTTGGCTGTTTTATTTGCACTTACTGTACTATACTATATAGTACAGACTATAGTATATAGTATAGTACTATAGTTCTGTATACTATATAGTATACAGAACAGCCCATGCTAAACAGATCAGCATCTGCTAGCCAAAAGTTAGCCACCGACATACTGATGAGGCTTTCTGGGTGGAAGGTGCCCTTTTGAAATAACTCCACATGTGCCAAGAGGAAGACTGCAGTCTGGATTAAACCAGTGATACTGTAGGTATTTGGTTAATAGCGACTTGCCAACCCAAAAAAAGTACCAAATCGAACCTTCTGGACCAAAGAGAACAGGGCAAATAAAGATGCTGTTACACATCAAGGTATTCCTGTAGGGCAGCTTTGAATATCAAACACTAATATCATTTTGTATAGAAATAATAGGCCTTTCATGCAGAATAACAAACAGCACACCAAGAGACAAACATAGCGATCTCCTTTAAAAGAAGCCCCTGCATTCAATAAGGATTAGTCTGACTCGGTAAGGCTTAGTTTAACAAAACATGCCCGGCAGTGACAAGAGATAGCAGTTAGTGATCTTGTAAAAAACCAATATGTTTCAGCATACACACAGTCTCATGTTTGTTCCATGAGGTTGTGATTTGTGCATTTGAGTTAATTATGGGTTGGCCTGTATACTTCTGCAGTAACCATCAAAGGGGACTGCAGAGTACTATTATTATGTTCCTCTGGTATGCAGGAACAAATTGGTTCACAGTTCTGATGTGGCACCAATGGCTTCTGAGGCCTCACTGCACACATAAGGCTTATGGAAGACAATGTTGGCTTATTTAAAAAATGTTCATTCTTTTTTAAAGCATAAACATTGTGTAATTGGGGGGAAAAAAATGGCTTGAATAATAGGAAAGCTATTCAAATACTCCAGTGTGAGATTGTTATCATTTTTAGCTGTTTGTTGTGCAACTTTTGACAGAACCAGCACGAGACAAGCTGCTCTGCCCTCTTTGCACAAATCATGCTGTTTCAGCAGATAATGAGTGTTGGGGAATCTAGAAGTGTAACACCCGTTACAAGTGAAGTGTGAATGACATAAAATCTAATTAAACGTCCCACATATCAACGGCTTGACAGCGCTTCTTTCAACACAGCTGATTAACTGTAATATTATAGGGTCTTCTGTATGCACACTGGAAGAAGATGCCTTCAGAAATCAATTGATCTATTTAAGTATGTGGGTTATTTAGAGATCATAGCCTCCGTTTAATTGGCTTTTTAGAAGCAAATGTCATCACAATGTGACAGATAAGGAGATCAAAGAGGCATTCAATTTTCATTCATTGTAAAGTAGGCATAGTCGAGTTGAATACATTTAAAGGGCTTTTAACAGAACAGGTTTGTCACAAAGTGCTTTCCTAGAGTAGCTGAGTAGAAGCATTCCCTTGTTTTTTCAGCTTTAATGGTGCCTAATATGCTGTAGGAGTTTGACCTGCATTTATGTAGCACATCCAGCACTTCAACTGCATAAACACATCTGCATGACAACTCTGTGTTTAAGGAGCACTACCTTCATCTCTGCAAACTAAAATCGCAAGTCCATAGCAAGAAAAAGGCCTTGATCTGAATCTAAGACTCAATCTGTGTTTTCTTTTTGGTTTAAACTGACACTCTTTGCTGATCTTATTTTGTTAAAAAAAAGAGGAGGAGTTCTTACAGGTCTCCCTACAAAAAGCACCAATTGTAACAATAGCTTTTAACAAATCTGATATGGTAAGTACAGAAAATAACTTCATGAAAAAAGCCATAATGCTTTAGTTAATGGGTTTTTCAGAAGTCATGATTGTTAAATTACCTGAAATCAGTGAAAATGAGGGATCAATTGCTGGAATAATTAGTTATGTAACTAAAAAAGTCATTACGTATATCAGTGTTTCTCAAACTAAACCCTTTTTTGTAGTATAGTTTATGAGGATCTATTGTGAGCAAACAGTAAGTGAAGAGGAAAGGAGGTCATGAGAGAGTTAGTGGTGTGAGTGACTGAGAGGGATTTTCATCAGTTGCACAACAACAGAAGGAGGTATTAGGCTCTGGCACAGAGTAGCTACCAACTGTTGGTCTGCTACAACAGCAATGAAAGAAGTTGCTTCGAGTGTGAAGAGCTTACTTTAATTATCAGACACAGGAGTCAACAGTATGGTGCGTTGTGCCTCTCTCTAACCGGGATATTGTGAACACAGCAAATAACTTCTAACACACAGTGGCAGTAGAACGCTCTATGACTCTGACACATCTTTTGAGTGCAAGTACAAATGTAGGCTCCAAGTGACTGGAGATGACTGAAGCGGCATGAACTCAGATTGCAGCAGCTTAACATGGAAAGGGAGGCTGGTGCTTTGAAACAGCAGATGAGCTAGGAGGAACTGAGAGAAAAAATGATTGATATGAATCATTCTAGGTGGACAAGGAATTGTAATATAAATGAGTAAGTAAACAAATTACACAGCAAAACAGATCATAAATAGGTTGGGCAAAGGCAATATAGCTAATATATACTAAACAGTTTTTCACATGACAATGGCACTTTCCTTTATTGATAAACTGCTGAATATAACTGTGTCTGACAGTGGGTAGCTTAAAATGTAGTTCGTAAAACAAGAACCATTTCCCTTGTCTAAAAGCTAGCTTGAGTGTCAAGGCATTTAACTGCTCCAGTGGAGCTACTCTGTGGTCAACAGAACGAGTCGGAGGCTTTGCTGGGCAGCTGCCTCACTTTCGACTGGTCAACTAACAGGTTGTTGCTCTAAATCAGAACATGCTGTTTAACAGCTTTCCTAGTTTAGTAAAGGAAGCAGTATGAGAAATTACAAGGGTCCTTGTATGTTCAAGTGATCATTTAAATCCCACTTCTCTGCCTTCTGCGTAACAGATCTTGAAATATTCACAATGTATGCTTTCTGTTAGTTACATGACCTTTTTATCCCAGGGATGTAATTTATTTATGTAATAAAATTCCTGCCTTCTAGACTCGTTCTGCAAAAAAACCCTATTTTCTTTCAAGTTTTCTATGACAAATGATTCAAATGTGAATACATTTTATATAACCATGTCTTGACATGTAATAGGCCAATCCCACATGTGATTATATCACAGATATAGTTTGAGAAAAACAAGATCCTGTGGGATGGTATGCTGCAGGAGCTAAAGTCAAATTGAAAGGCAACATCAGTCAAACAGCATGAATAAAATAACCCTGCTATCAATCCTTCAAGAAAGAAGGCTTTCCTTCCTGAATGGTTCGGGAATATTTTGCTGTAGATGGCTCTGTTGTAATAAATCTAACTACTTTTGAGAGAATCACTTTGCAGGAGTGCGAAATATTTTGATATATTTGGTGTTTTAAGAGTTTAATTTGTACTATGCACTTAAAGCAGACCCAGCGCAACGTATCCCCATGGCTAAAACAGTCTCCACTAGTCTGTAAGGCCAGATATCAGGAGGGTGCCCTGGTTTCCCAAGCAGACCTTTCCAAAGACACAGATCCATAGAGGGCTTTTAATTGCTCTTACTCTACCAGGAGCTATTACCCCCGACAAAAAAGCTAGCAGGATCACAAGGTCTGTAATTTTTTTTGTCAAAATACTACAGATAAAATAGTAACTCTAAGAACCTTTGGGTAGCCTTTTACCTCACTGTGTCTTTACATACTAGTATTTGTGAACATGGAGGACATCATTCATATTTTATTGCTCACATATGCATCACATTAACTAAACAAAAAGCAGAAAAGGGGGTAACAGTAGCAAAGGATGGCTACATCCCTGTTGCCAGCTTGTTGTTGGTTAACAAGTGATTTTTCAGTATTAGCTTTTATTAAAGTCCACACAGTGATTCCATAACACAGCATATGGCAAATCAGCAAGAGAGGTTTTGCAGGCACTAGTGTATTTGTACCTCTGTTATTCTTTGGTATTTCTGAGAAATACACAAAGTGACAAAGATAAGTGTTTTTCACAACATATACAACATAGTTACACTCATAGAGATGCCAAAATAACAGTCCTGAAATTGTTTGGGATAAAAAGGGTGTCAATGTGGTCCAGAAATGTTCAGTGTGGTGGCATGGAAAACTAAACAAAATATTCTGTCCTTCTTCCCAACAAATACCATCACACTTCTATGTCTTGGGAGTGTTCAACTCTTGACTTCAGAGCTGCTCCACTGGATGAATATGTGTAAAACTGAAGCACACTACTGCTGAATAAACTAGTTATAGCATTTATTACACTTTATATATATATATATTTATGTGTAAATATGTGTCTTTGGAGCATTGTTGCAGTCAATTTTTGCTTTGTTTGATGCATCGGCCCCTCAGGAGTAGAGCTGGGGAGGAGGTGAGGAATGTCTCTAATGCCAGTTACATGAATGCAGCAAAACTTGCCTCAGCATCTCAATGTAGTTGAAGAAGGCAAGGGGAGGCTCGTGGTGGGAAACGACTGGACCAAGGGCTAAACAGACTTATCTCCTATTATCACATTGATTTTTTTGATCTCTCTGGCGCTCCCTTCCTCTCTGTTTCCCTGCCTCTCTCTGGCTCAGAGTTTCATCTCGAGTGCTGTGAACTCCTCCTCTCAGTGGGCAACTGTGGGATCTTCTGGCTGAGAGCTTTTAAAAGCCCTGTGATTGCAGACCAACCTAGGGCTAGGTATTCACCTGAGACTGAAATGGTTGCCATGGTAACACCAACTGTTGGCCCTTGGCCAGCACAAAATAATGCATGCAGGAGGGGAAAGAGAGAGCGCGCCAGACCGGGTAATCCATTTGAAACCACATTGCGCAAACATGCCAAACCTCTACGACTCTCTTGTCTCATGAAGAGTCGACTCAGAGCAGATCCTAGTGGCATTTGTATCTTCAGATGTCTACCATACCCAGTTGACAAAGTGCTAATTTCTATTGCGCCTCCAAGGTACGGGGAAATCAGTACAGCTTATTGGATCTTGGAAAGTGAGCAATGAGGATGGAGCCCTGCCCTGAAGGCAGAGTGCAAAACTCATAAGAAATGCAAACAAACATATTGATCGCTTTAATTACCTTCATTGTCTTTCAGGGTGAAGTTAGGATTAACTGGTATCTGGTTCGGCAAAGCAAAGGAAAACCGCTGTCCATTGGCAAAGTCATCCTTATCCACTGCAGTGACAGTCCGGATCACCTGTTGTTCAGAGGACACAGGGTAAATTACTCTCCAAAGACAACACCTGCAACATTTAATTAGCCACTGCACCATTTAGATTCACTTTTCACTCTAATTGGATGCAGGATAATGAGTTATTTAGTTTGTGACGCATGTCTCATGATTTTTTGATCATAATTGGTCAGAGTCAGAGTTCCTCCGACCTACAGCCGACTGGTCTTGTAATATTTTCTCCTCTACCTGTTACGCTGCCTGAAAGGGAGTGACTGGTTGCGACGCTTTGATTTCAGAGCATTTAGCTTGTGCAGGGGTGGTGGTGGTGGTGGGGGGGCTGGCATCTGACAATGACAGGGTAATGCTCTAAGGGCAACCTCACTGCCACTTTTGTCATCCTGTTACCCTTAATTGGTAAGAGACACAGTCAGAGTGGAGAGAGAGCCTGATTTCAGAGGAAAACGACTGGATAGCCCCTGTCAACATGGACAGCATTTTTGGTTTAGAGCATAATGACAGTCTGATGTGCCTCTACTCTAGCAATTTTTGTGCTTGAATTTCTTCAGATCTGTGAGTCTGTCTATGTAGAGGTCTGGCCAGTGGTGTAAAAAACATTGTACCACACCTTTCAGAACACCGTTTTCAGTCTAATACATGCATTAGGAACTGACAATTTCAAATCGTTGAGCCGTACAGAGCTGTTATTGTTGGGCTGACAAGATTCTCACTCTCACTGTAAGCACATCTAGGTGTTTTTGTAATACCACACTCTTTAGATCCAAAAATCAGACCCAAAATCTCTTTTTATTTCTTTCATTTTATTTACTGGCAGACACATTTCAGGACTTGCGTTTGAACATCTATCACATATTTTGAACCTTGGTTTCTGCCTTGCGGCATTGAGAATTAAGTCAACATGTGAACTTTTAGAATCATTATTCTAGGGATGTCCTGATCCGATCTCAAAGATCAGTATCGGCCTGATCAAGGCCTTTCTTAACTGATCGGTATCTAGCTATAAAGAGCTATACTGAGCTATATTGAGCAAGATCCAACTTTTTTTCAACATTAGCTGTCACACAGGTGTTTTTACTCACAGACTTTTGGTGCACAGCAACACAACGAGTGCACCAGGCGTCAACAAGTCAATAGGAGTGATTTATTAATGTAACCTGTGCAAAAACTTATAAACAATACAAATAAAAATAGAATACAGTTTATTAAGTTGTCAAGCATATAAATTGGATTGATTTTAAAAAATGTAAAATGTAAATGCACTGTGCACCTGTACTGTTTATGAAAATAGAGGTGTCGGATCGGGGCTAAATATTGGCAGATAATCAATATTATAATGACTTGGATCTGTATCAGAGGCAAAAAAACTTGATCGGAAGATTCCTACTTTATACCCCAAGATTACAATTTTGTCACGCTAACCCAATAGCTTCTTTTAACACTGGAGCTCTGTTTATGGGGACCCGAGGCCATTAACCAAAGGCAAAGAGAAGCTCTCTATAAAATTGTCATCCATCTTCTCATTTGGGAATTTTACTGTTGTACCCGTTGTTATGATTAAACCTGCAGATTAATATATCTTGAGCACTGATTCAGAACATAGATTTAATTAATTAAGAACTATCTCCTCTTACAATTTTTAAGACCACCTGGCAACCAATCAGATAATTTTCCATATCTATGATATAAATTGAAATGCAAAAATATCCAAAGACATGAATGAGCAACACATATGTTGTTCATCTGAATAGGGGTTTAACACGGTCTCATTCAACACATAATTTTTCCCACTTAATCCCCTGGGCCAAGAACCCTGAGGCTATAAATCAACCTTAATTTAAATTTAATGCAAACTTTAATTCAAACTTTTCTTCCACTAGCTCGAAACTATTAAAAATGTATTTAGTTGTGTCTTCCCGGTCTTTACCCCATCATCTTTTACCGAACCCCCCTTTCAGCCATTTCCATGCTGCTGATTGCTCTATATCTCAAAAACCTTCTTAATTTGAATGAATCAAAGACTACTGAGAGCAAATTGGAATGAGCTTCGATTTAGAGCTGTCATGGTTTGCTGGTAAGATACTCATTTTGAATGAGGGATGATTAAGCAGCTCTCTCCAATGCCTTCAGAGTCTCTCACTACACAGCTCTCAGTGAGCAACCCAAACTGCTGAAGGAAACAATAGTTTAGAGCAGAATGCACAAGGTTAATGCACAGCTCTCAACACTCGTTCTGAGGTGTGTCTGTAGTGTAGAAGGATTTTATTGTGTGAGGAAAGAGAGGGAGAGTAAAACCAATACAGAGACAGAGCTAGAAGTTGCAGATTTTTCTAGCTGAATCCTAGATGCTCACCTGTCCTGGCCTTGAGCTCTCACACACAATGACTTCTTCGTCTGTTGCTATTTCTGGCGGATTATCGTTCACGTCCAGCACCTGGACTGTAACAGGAACGTGACTGAGAAGACTGGGGTTATCTGTAGCAGAGAGAGAACAGGTGACAAAGAAGATGAAAGTCAAATGCAAGCCTTAATAACAAAGTAGAGTGTCAACACTGTAATTTCAAACTGGGACACACTGTGCTCCTCTTGTTAGACCGCTTATGGATTTTGTCTTATGTTGGTTCATGATAAAAAGGGGATGGATGAGGCATGCAATGTTGCAGAAGCCAACTTTGTGTATTAAAGCACATACGATCATTCAGCACTTTTTTTGTCCCAGCTGGTGCTGCATGAGTAAATCACGATACCACTTATTTAAATATTAAATGGAAACAAAGTAGCCACCTATGCCACTTAAATAAGTGAAAATAGTTTTAAACACATAATGTAACACTTATATTATGATTTTCACTATTAAATTAAGATTTCTTATTTATTGCAGTATATGCAGCCAATATCCCTACAGCGTTATGAGATAAAATGGGACAGTCATGTAATTTAGTTTTTAGCATTCATGAGGGCTGAGTAAAGACAATATTGTTTATTTTTTTTATTTTGCACAAAATATACAAATGTGAACAATCATAGATTTAGGTTCAACATTCGGAGGCTCAGCTATTTTTGTTCCAATAGCCTTAAAACATTTGGGATCGTAGAGGTTTCCCATGATTTTTCTCTCGTTCCAGTGCCATAGAGCAAGGAATTGAACCCTTATCTTGTGGGGCACCTATGTATCCAACAAATACAGAAAACTGGTTTTACTGGGTAGTTTCCAGATGCTTATGTGTAGCATGACAGTGCTGAAAAATAGCACGCTCGCTCAGCAAAAGATTTCCTTGGATAGAAAAAAATGGCATGCAGGTGCAGCAATCGTACTATTAAATAAATGTGTCAACATTTTTATTTACTTTTATCTTTCTATCTAGGTTTCTATGCTTGGGGTTGTTTCAGTACTTGCACCAACTGTATTATAAGACAGCTCTTTGTGCTTTTAGATGCCTAAAACCAAGGTGATCATACATTGAAATTCAATGATACATTCATTTCCTCATTGACTCACTCAATACAGTCTATCTACAGTACTCCTGATGTCCATTAGAAGATGGGGTAAAGTCTCTGCAGGATAGTTTACAGCAAACTGCGCAGGATGCTTTGACACTGTGTGTCCTTGCTCTTTCAGAGTGGGAAAAAAATATCATTGTGCCTTTTGACAGTGTCTTGGCATGTAACTGTATCCTTGAATACTAAGGAGAGGTGAAGAGATAAAGAAAGATTAGCATGCAGCACCTCTGTCGGTTGGCAAGAGATTTGCCTAATTGTGATTACAAATTACCCAAGTTACCTGATAGCAATTCTTGAAGTTAGCGGGGCCTGCATTGATTTAATTAATTTTCATTGTTGGAAAGGACATTGAAACAATTGGGACTAATTTGATTTTGTAGTTAATTATAAGAAAAAAATACACTTAACCTATTTGAATACATTCTAATCAATATGCAAATGATTTCCTTTATCCTTGTTTTCTCCAGACTTTAATTGTTAATTTCACTATTAACTCACCTGGTATTGGGCTGTGTTTAAATACTGCTAGTGATTGTGATATTACTGTTAATAATCCTATTAAAACATCTTGCTGCAGTGAGAACTAGACAGATAGGAGTACAAACAGTGCAACAAACTGCATCATGTTAACTATTGACCATGGATGGAAATGTTTAAGCAATTTCCAAGCAGACTAGTTTTGCGTTACAGGAACGGTAGTGATACTGATCTGGTTAGCTCAATAGCTGCTGGCGACAGCCCTTTATGGCAGTTCTGTTGTTTCTAGCTCATGTTTATGTTAATACTTCCATATTTCTAATTGGTTGAACTACGGACTGATAGTTAGGCTAAGACTGAAAAGTCACAGTCCTGCTCCAGTGGATGTGTGTCAATTAACATGTAGTATCCTGTTGAAGTGTCTTGATTAAGACATTGACGTGAATATCTGAATAAAATCTGCTGAAAGCCTAAACGGTGCTACAGATTTTATTCTGTACATAAAGGGAGAGTGTGCAGTGAAGACTCATATAGTTCCTTTTTATGGAACCCTTCTTTTGTTGGTATTGATTCTGACTCCAATTTTCCATGCTATGAATCTGAACCTGGGCTGCTCTCTGACTATATGATCCCCTCAGGGTGTCTAGTTATCTTGTGGGAAAGGACAAAAAAAACCTCTGAGTAGAACTATAGTACCCACCTTTATTTTTAATCTTTTCTTTTTACTCTTTAAATCATGCTGTTGTGGCAAAAAAACTCACCAATGATTTGAATTCAATCCTGATAACGATTTATAATGTGTCCTATTAGCTCAGGGCTAAAAAAGATGAGTGTGGAAAGAAAGAGCAATCTCTTTTAAGTGCCTCTTTCAGGCAACTGCATAGCAGTATTTCATGTGTTTACTACAGACCCGCAAGGCGTCAAACATAGGAGAAATATACCCTGGTTAGTTAAATATTAATATGTCAGAAGGATAACAGACGGGTATGATCAGTGTGTACAGTGTATCTATATGTGTAGCCCCATATCTGATTATTTACCTACTGTATTACACAATTTTTAATGCAAATATGTATGCAAAATATGCACTTAATTCTAAGATAAAGTGCTTCTAAACCTTATGAAATTGTAGTTCTACAACTACATTAAAATAGCTATTTCCAAAGATTTTCCAGTTTCCAGACATTCTCGAACTCCAAGATGAAAATGTTTTGCACAAAAGGAAGTATGCAGTCATGGCAAGAAATTCAGCACTCAAATAAAATCTACATCTGCTCACTCACATAAGAGCAAACATAACGCAGTAGGTGCGATACATTTACTCGCCCACTTGTAAACATTCAGTTTAGGAAAGCAACCTGGGTACCTACCAACCTCCGAGGCCATCACAGTGATGTTGTGCCAAGGCATGTCTTCTCTGTCTAGAGGCTGTGTCGTCCGTATAACTCCGCTGCTTTCATCGATTCTGAAGTACCTTACTCCTTCCTCTTTGCTGTCCAAGAAATACCTATTGGGAAAGGAAAGTTTGATGTTGTGCATCCAGCATACAGAAGATTTTACAGAAGAAAAAAAAAATCAGTCGATGGAAAAAATAAAAACATGAGGTGCAAGAGGTCATCAAGATGTCAGTGGATAATCTGCAGGCTAGAGGGCACAGTTAGCTGGTGGTGCTCAGTAAGCCTGAATTTTTGAAAGGTCAAAAGACTTTATGTCTATGCTATATGTAGGTCATATATTACTATTGTTTTGGCTGCATTTAATTTGTGTTTAAGACATACAACAGAATTTAGTTTTAGCAGTCTACAAAAGTATAATAAAGCTGCCTTTGAACCTTGAACCTTGAATGTCCTTTAATCCAAATAGTACTTAGTTCAATGTCTCAGAATACTATGTAGACATTTGATGTGTTTTTGGGCCTGGTTTTAGTTTGCCACTTCCGCGGAGGACTTAGGAAACACACATTTGCCTACAAAAATGAGCAGAAGTACACCAAACCAGAAAACAAAACCAACCTAAAACCATCAAGTGAAATGACGGAAGGCAGAAGCAGCATAGGCCAAAGGGAATGTTCTTATGCTTCTGTGATTTTCAAAGTCTGGTTCAACCTCCAAAGCACATCAATAGAACAATCCCTACTGCTTTTAAATAGACTTCAGGTCCTGACAGAATGTTCTGAAAATACATATTTCTAAGTCAAGTGCAATTATCTTCAATATTTAATAATGACAAAAGGCGATGTTCTGCTGGCAGTGTTTACACTGTTGTAATGGCTTTTTAGCAACGCTGTTATCAAACTAGAAGCAAAGCAGCCTGTGGAATACAAAGCAGAAATGGGCTCAGCTGCTCCTCTCATGAGTTCAAGCACGAAATGAGCATTGACTGTCTATTCCCTAATTTATCTCTTAATGACCTATTTACACCTTTAATCCAGCATTCATTCTCCTGAGTAATATGGCCTTAGTCGACAATTTTCAATTGACAAGAGATATGGGAATGGTATAGGGATATTAATGCTATTATTGCATTTATTTGAAATAATGAACTTTTTTTTAGCTTGGACTGCTTACAAGTACACCCAGCATCCTCGGTAGAAATGTTGTCATGATTTATTAAATGCTCAGGCTCATAAGGGCATGAAAAAGGCTTTTTAGTTGTAGCTTTTTGCTAAGAGTTTATAAGGTGCTAAGCATTTTCTCTGTCAGGGACAACAAAATGCACAAATAATTAAGAGTTGTTTTTCAGTGGATTTCACTAAAAAACAACTCTGTTAATTATCTGTGCATTTTGTTGCTTGTTGCTTTATTTACTAATTTTCATGTAGATAATAGCCAAAAGTACAATATGTCACATCATTTAATGATGCTTTTCCAGAACACCTTGATTGTAAAAAGTAAAAAAAAAGTGCACTGAACATGAAGTCTATGGTACTGCAGCCCAGTGGACAGTGATGCTTATTACACAGCACACTTGTTATTCTTAGATGTGGGCAACATTTAAAAGATGGCATGCTGGTGGCTACAGATATACTGCCATGTTGTTACCCAATTCTTAATTGTTCATAATCTGCAAAGTGATCATTTTAGTAATTTCATTGCAAACTCGGCTTGTTAGGCTGAGATCAGCATTTTCAGACTTGACTCAGCTCTTATTAGTCAAAGGGTGAAATTATAGTGCTCTAAAGATGCACATAAGTTTTAAAGAAAAGGGTGATCCCAAACTTTTTCCAAATCTCAACATGTCATGCAGCCCTTTGCATCAAACTAGCTGATCTAACATTCTGTCCGGAGGTAAATATGATGCAGAAACATATCAAAACACATCATTGCACATTCGTACAAGTATTGATAAACAGACTTGGTTTTCCCTTATGTGCAGCCTTAATCTTAGACTTAATCTGTACCCCTTTGTCAGCCTCAGATGCTCAGCCGTTCTTTGAGCTGTGTACGAATATTTTGCTGCTGAATGTTAACATGCTAATGTTTGCATGTTAGCAGACATCTCCAAATATAGGAGAGGATGGCAACTGGTAATCCAGCCATTAGTATTAGAGGTGTTATGTTATGAGCTGAAGTGTTGTACAAGTGTCAATTTGTACTTGTTGGTGGTGCTAGATGAGAAGTGTCATTGGGATTTATGTTTATCCTCTGGGGGCTATGAATATTTGTGTTCAAATGTGAACTTTTGCTTAAAAAAACCAACCTGCCTTTAGAGGTGGTGCAATCAAGTGTCTTGTTTGCTTTATTTCATATTACAGCTGTTTAAAACATTGTCAGTTAATGCAAGCTGGGATATTTAGATGTCAGTTTGAGACCAACATTTGATATGTCACTTGAATAACATGTTTATTTTTAATTGCATGCATGGGCAGACTTCTGATGATCAAAGAAAGCCAAGTACTGATCCCTGCTGCATTCTGCATTCTGATGCAAACACAGGCAGCACTGGCACAGTTGTTACGTTTTTTTTCTGGGTTCAAGCGAATGTCATCGAAATACTTCCCCCTGCCTTCTTCTTTATTTGGTGAACACTGGGAGTGATGTACTGTAGGTATGGACGTGGAGGAGGTATCCCACAAGGAGAGCATGGAAACTCTTTCATATGTAGATTGCTGTCTTGTTGACTACAAATCTTTCACAAAGTCTTAAGATTCTGACATGAATCAAAGTAGTTTTACCCTGTGTCTTCCTCCCATTTGAAACTGCACATCATTCATCAGGAGCCGCAGAGCTCACTCCTCCAAATGGGGAGGACAGTGGCATGGACATAAGTCTCTGCTTAATGTTGTTTTAGAAAGCCCCTATGACCCTATAACATACATGTCAGTAACAATTGAAGATTGCTTCTTATTGATATATCAGCAATACTTCATCTCATGAGGACTTCCATGCTTAAAGGTACTCGATCATTTATGCCACGGCTATAGAGGGATTTCAAATTAAAACAAGCAGTGCAGAGTTGCTTGAGTGTAATGCCATAATACGAGGTACCTGTGCAGAGTGAAATCCTAGGATTGGTCTACTGCCTAAGGGTAATATCAATCTTTTTTCAACAGTACACAAGCATGTGTTTAGAGTGCATACAAATGTGGTAAGCAGTTGTATTGCCTCAGGTTACTTCACAGTCTTGCAGACAAAATAACCATCTATCTGATGATTTCAAAAAATGAGTGAAGATTCACTATGAATATTGCTGATATTTTGAGGGGATGTGAAACATTAAGGGCATGTATAGTATCAGGAACAAACACGGCTATTAACCCTAACCCTAACCCTAACCCAAAAAAGTTAAAAAACACCTGAACAAACATTGTATATCTTGAAAAAGCCTCAAGCCTTATTTATAATGTGTATATTATCAGGTACATGTTCAAACTACGGTGCCAAGTCATAGCTTTAAATGCTTATCTATTAAAGGTACAATTATATGGGGCAGAAAAACAACATGCAAATTGGAGTTTTAGTTAGACAAACATTTCTTGGAGGCAGAAATAATCTTATTAGTTGACTTAAACCTCAATGGGCAAATCCAAAGCACCTTAGAGACATCTCACTGGTGAACCTGAATGCCAAAACAGAAACTCTGATCAAAAGATGAATAAATAAGCAAGCCATTCTTAATAAGCTGTGACCTGTTTGGCGAAAAAGTTCTCATTATCAAAATTCTTGTATGGCATATGCTTTACCAACTAAGCTAATTCGAACAGATATAGTAACCAGGCTTGTTAGAAATCCATCTGGCAAAGACTGGGACGTTTCTAAAAACAAAATAAGTTTTTGGCAACCATTTAGTTGACAAAATGTTACATTGGCTGCCAATCACATCTGAAAGAGAGCTCAGCCTCAAAATAAACCTCATAATATTAGAAACCTCCTCACTTACTCTTTGCTTTTGCAGTGAGCTGGTCTGATATTTCCAAATAAGAAAAACTGTAGATCTTCAATTCTATCCAATGATGCACCACTAATAAGACAGTATGCCTACAGAACTGCTCTGACTAAATATTTGTAATCATTCCTGTAGATTGTATATGTACATACTGTAGGTGTCTTACCTGACAGGACTGTTCCTGCTGTCAGGATCTCGAGCCATTACAGCGCCCACCTCTGTGCCACTTGGTGAGTTCTCGTATACGTCCATGATATAATGATCTATAGAAAAGACAGGGGCTTCGTCCACATCCCCAACAGTGATTTTAAGGGTGGCAGTGTCTTTGAAGGAACCAAGATAGGAAAAGCGAGGATCCACATGTGTATTCATCCCCTCAATGTGGAGGGTGTAGGTCTTCTTTCTCTCGTAGTTCAGAGGCTATTGGGAAAAGGAACCATAGGGATATGTGAAAAACGCGCTCAAAGAACAAAGTAGCTACACTTTCCCTGGATGAATCAAGTGGCAAGAAGTGAAAACTAACTCAGGGCTCACTTAAATACAGTATTTGCTGTCGGGATGGCAAGCCCACAAACACAAATTGAATCACTTTGCAGTAAGAGTGTCAGATGTTGCAGAGTGTTAGACAAACTGGAGACAAAATAAGCATAATTTTAAGTATGTACAGCTCAAGTTATGTTTTTGCTCTTCTCTTCTGTTCGGGTAAGTTTATTCTTATATCAGTGATATTATTACAAAAATAAAACAAAAGAAAATCAGGTGTAATTAAATAATAAAGTACTTGTCTGGGAGCTGTCAGTCTAGTGTGTGTTGACAAGAAATAACATTTGAGTGTGTGATTTGATTAGCTGGATTTAGTCAGTTGGAGTCATGTGGAGTTTTTATTGTAAACAAAATTATTTTATTTAAATTCAACACTACTAAAAATGACATTACACAAGTCTTATACCTATATATTGCATGTCCTACCTCATTAAGCCCAACAAAGCCTATTTGTTTTGAAAGATCTTTAACTTTTAGAACAGTGTACATCAGCTGGTGTTCTGTTCTCATTTTATCCGAGTATTGCTACGATTGAAAGTGCATCACTTCCACCAACTGTTACCGCTCTCCCCAGATGGTAAAATTGTGTCCTTATATGCTCATAAATTATTTGAAACAAACAACATTAGGACCTGTCTATCAAAACAGAACCAGTTGTGGTCAAAGGTCTACACAGTACACAGCATCCTTACCTTTTTAAGGCTGATGATTCCCTCTCTGAGGTCCCTGTCCGTGAATATGGAGAACATGTTGGCCCCCTCTGAGTTTATGATGCTGTACTTTATGTCTGCATTGATGCCAAGGTCCTCATCATTGGCTTTGATCTTCCCTACTGGTTTCCCTACTTGAGCTGATTCAGGGACGTACAGCTGGTAATTTTCTGTGGATGAACATTAATGTGTACCCATTTAGAGACAGCAAAAAATGTTTAAAACAGAAGCTGATCCGCCCCACATCCTTGTTTAAATGTTCTACTAAAAGGGCTTAGCTAAGCAATTTCATTCTGTCACCATTTGTTCCTGAGGGAATGTCATTAAAAACACTCTGCAGTGCTTCAATTGACATTAAATGCTAAACCGTGGTTGATGGCACTGCAGTGGAGCGGATCAAACTCTGAGGCAGATGATTATTCAGAAAATGTTGATGGTTTTGAAATAGTTTGTCACTGCAGCACAAAATGAAAAACTCAGCCAAGGGGGGCTGTGCTTGATGAGGCACTTTCAAAGACAAAGAATCACAACTTTATCATTATTTAAATTTATCATTAAAATGGAAAATTTCAGACTGCAAGACAGAGGGTCTTGATGAATGCTAGTCTAATTTTGCTAATTATAGAAAATTTAACTGCAATATTAGACTGACTGAGCCACACAATAATGAAGTATAATACATCATAGTGAGGAATGCTAAGTAGGTATGTGAGGGGAAGTCTCAATAATTAAAATAAAATCCATGATTTGCTCTCTAAACCTTTTAAGATTGATATAAGGTTAAATAATGCATGCAAGAAAAAAATATAATTAAAAGGATTTTGTCTCTGCAAATACTGAAATGTTGATGTTTCCTCTTTTCATCAAAGCAGCAAAAACAGCAAATACACTGTAAAGGATAATCTGCCTTTCATGGGCAAATGTATTGGGACTTTTGCTCTACATTGTGAATTATTTTAAAAATAGCACCTTTCTTACAGTTATCTTTCCACCTCCACAAGGAAAATACAGTAAAGAACTCCTTTTATAAATGCATTTCAGGTAATGAAACTGCCTCAGGCATCTGTAGTGGAGGTCTTCTGCTCTAGGCCAAAATGGTTAAAACAGCTGATAAAATTTCCAGGCCCAGCATGGCCATTTAATGTAATAGAAGCTAATGTATTCAGGTTAGTAGTAGTAACACATAATTATTGGATATTTTGCTAAATTATCCTTCTGGGTAGTTAACTAGCAAAAAATCCAAAAGGCAACAATTTTCAACAGTTTTCAAATACGGCCAAAGCCAATTTAATGTCCCAGTTTCCTAAACGTAGTACATCTAATTCCAACAACTAGCTATCTTCATTACATATACTTTGGGAATTATGACGTGAGGAAGGTTGGGGTTTGGTGAGGTGGCGAAGTTGAGATGGTCGGATTTGGATGTTGTGTAGGTATGTGTGGGAGCTTTCGTGGGGGTTTGTTCGTTGAATGTTGTTCAGTTAGTGATTGTTGATGGTTGGTTGGAGTCATGTATAGCCTCGATCCTGGTCTGCATTTTTTTTTGTCTTTGGCTGGAGTAACAACATTTGTTTTTTTTTGTTTGTTCTCTTTTGTTTTTGGCTCCTGTCTAGGTTTGCTAATTGCGCTTGTATGATTTCCGTGCGATGGTTGGATGTGTAAATATTAACCTATTTTTATGCTATGGTTGTTGGGTATACTAGTATTCTTCATACTATATTTTATTTTTTTTCTTATTTTATTATTTTTGCCTCCCTGTGTGGTTATTTTTATAGTATTTCTGATCTGATTCTGATATTGTTTTTATTATTATTGGTTTTGGTTTCAATTTAACTTAGTTTTTTTCTCGTAGAGTGGAGCGCTTTCTACTTTTATTTTTTATTAATTTTATTTGACTATCTCTGTTTTTGATCTATATGGTAGCTTATTTTTCTTCTATTGTATTTGTGTATGTATTATTTATCTTTTTTGTTTGTTTTTTATTATAGCGTTCTTTTATATCCTGGAATATTTTGTGTGAATTCTCATATATTTGATAGTTTTATGTGTTGATTATGTTTGAGCAGATTAATTTCCGTTTAACTTTTTATTCAGTTCTGTCTGTATTATGCATTTTTAATACATACATACTGAATAGGCTTCTTTTTTGACAAATTTTGTGTTTTCTTCTCACTGACACTTATTCTATTAGACAATTTACTGTACTTTTACTTTTACGTGTGTGAACCTTTTTATTATTATTACTTAATATGAGATATAGGCCTACTGTGTATATTTTTAAAGTTTTCTCACACCCCTTAAAATCAAGTAGGCCTCACATCCCCTCATGAAGCTTTGGCCCCTAGTGGGGGTCCTGACACTCACGTTAGGAACCACTGCAGTAAAATACATATACCACTATAGAATACTTAGATAGGTCTTTTGAGAATAAACACAAGACACTTGCAAAAGCAAAATGGACCCCAAAAAAAATAAAATCATTATTTTCTTGATTAAGACATGAAAAGAGATCACTGTTAGAAAGTGAAAATAACTGCTACTGTTGTCAAGATGTTACAGCCATTATCCAAATATTTTTCCCACCAAAACTTCTTTCCGTTATGGACTACTCTTAAAGCAGCATATCATACTTTCCTTTAAAGACTAACACCATAAAACTGTGCTTCTTTCATCTTTGATTCTCCTGGTCTCTTATTGTCAAGGTTAACCTTTCCTCACTTTTCATTACATTTAAGATTACTATGCAACCTTGGATCGGGGCACAATGCAACTTTCTAAGGCACCCACTCAATCACATTTATTACTACAATAACACAGCAAACACAGCCATGAACTTTCACAATGCTAACTCAGTGATATATGACTGTACCTCTGCCCACTGCAGAGAAACTGTACACAGGTAAATTGCAATGCAGTAACAAGCCAAAACCACAGTATTTGCTTCCTGTGTAGCTGTGTGGTAGGTGATTTACTGGATGTAATAGCTAGATGTCTTGCACATATATTTGTCTGTGTGTCTGTCTTTGTGTGAAGACTTAACATGTCTGTTGGCCCATATTAGTTTTTTGTGTGTTTATATATCTGTGCCAGAGGGTTAATTCGACACCTTAGCTCCTGAAACCACATCACCACATGGAGCCTGATTTAATATGTCCTACCAGTTGCATCAGTGTTCATTGTAAATCTCGCCTTTCCTCTGAGCCAAAACCCTCTGGCAACCATTGAACTTGTGTTCTTGTGAACTTATGAACCCTGCAATAATACACACCGTTTGACCGGGAGCAGTGAGACCTGGGAGGAAATGGGATGGTGTTGATCATGATGGTAAATGGACTTTGCTGCTGTTGCCTCATGTTGTGAGAGGAAATCACAACAGGAGGTGACGTTTGATAAGATGGCTTTAGAGAATGAATCAAGACATCACTAACAGCACTGAAGCCAGGTGAAAATGTGTTATTTTAAGTGGTTTATGTTTACAGCAAGAATGCTGCTAATCATGCACAAATCACATGATGGATACTAAATCAGATTGTACTCCTTGTTTGGCTATTTTACACATTTTTGTTAAGATGCCATGTACAGTAAATTTGGTTTGTCGTACTCTCCTCTCCACCCCCACTGCTTATTTTCATTCTACTCTGGGAAGCAAAATGAATGCAATAAACTGCAATTAGCCCTTTCAACAAACATGGCTGATGAGCGTATGTTTACTTTGTTTTGGCAGGCAAAAAAACATTCTCACTATAACTATACTGTGCAAGTGCTACAAGGCCCTTCCTGACTGAAATATTTTCAAACTCAAACTCACAAAAAAGGGTTATAGTATGCCATATCACATTATGCAGGTGCTGTCACAGCCATTTTTTTCTGTTCTCAGAAAACTCAGAAAGGTAACTGTTTTCAGCAAAAAACTCTCTTTACACCACCTGCCCTACACTATATGACAGACAGGCACATTCAGAGACTAGCCGGTCATGTTAGTGGAGCATTTAACAGCTAAAGAGCGGTATATTTTTCTTAGGAGTAGGTGGCGTCTTAAAACAGAGCTAAAGTAAGTGCCATGTGGCCAGAAACCTGACTCAAAATAAATGTTGCTCCATATCTGCTGGATGTGTAAACTGCTTTCCAACAAGTTCGCCATGTAAACTTAAATGGTGATAATATGTCAGTAAAATGTTTAAAACTTATTTTTGCTGACCCCTAGTGGAGAAAAAATCAGTGATTGCAGGTTTAATTCAAGTGGTGGTGTTGCTGTACACAGTTTCAGGTTTTATATTTGCTTGGAGACATGAAATGCCTTGGACTCATCCTGTTTCATACAATTACAGCGCTGGTCTTTTATTTTTATTATTTATTTTAAACTTTTCAGCTTTTTTTGTCTGTGTAAAAACTGTATTGGAAAACATATTAAAAATTCCTAGTGTATCTACGTTTTATAAAAAAGTGTTTGAACTGCATCATTAACTGACTCAGTGACTGACCAAGTAAATTATTATTTAATGCAATTATTCTCTTAGTACTCAGTTTCTAATTCAAACCTTTACAGCTTCAATTTCATACAAATAATTTTGGAGTGAATCAATACAGTTTTAGGATTTCCTAATTTCACAAAAGAGGCAGCTATAGTTGTGTTATACAATAGGTCATTTTCCTCTTCCTTTCTTCAAGACTCTATAGACAGAAACTAATCCACTCGCCTCAGGCAGAATAATCATTAAAAGTGGGTCAAGGAGCAAGGCAGCCAACAGTATTAAGATCCAGGGGATCTTAGGTTACACATCATCTGTCACACTGAGCTGTGGCTGAGGTCCCACAGACTGCCTGTGGACCTGGACTCATCACTAGTGAATCAACAAAAAGGGAAATAATATAAAAAATAGCACAATAGACTGGAATCAAATAGTAATATCTATCATAGACACTAGAAATAAAAGAAGAGAAGAGCTATATGAACACAAGGTGTTGTACAGTTGTACAGTTGACATGAGTTGAGCTAATGTCACATGATACATGATAACAAAAGTGTAACATTTAAAAATATAAACTTGACAAGATGATAATTTCTATGAATGAACTGTGAATACAGTCTCTACTGCTGCTTTCACAGTGGTTTGAATAAACTATAACCTATTGATTGCTCCTGTTCAAATTCCTCTAGTGGCTG